ACTACTACTACAACGAGTACCACTACTATTCCTACTACGCCTACTTGTACATGTACTACAACTACTACTGCTGCTGCTACTACTACTACTACTATCACCACCACCACCACCACCACCATCACCACCACTACTACTACTACTACTACTACTCCTACTACTACTACTACTACTACTACTACTACTACTACTACTACTACTACTACTACTACTACTACTACTACTACTACTACTACTACTACTACTACTACTACTACTACTACTACTACTACTACTACTACTACTACTACTACGACTACGACTACTACTACTACTACTACTACTACTACTACTACTACTACTACTACTACTACTACTACTACTACTACTACTACTACTACTACTACTACTACTACTACTACTACTACTACTACGACTACTACTACTACTACTACTACTACTACTACTACTACTACTACTACTACTACTACTACTACTACTACTACTACTACTACTACGGCTCCTCCTCACCATCATACTGAAAATCAAATTCATCGCCCCCATTAAGCTCATGCTCCTCCTCATCCGCCAACACTCCCCCATTTCCTCCTCATCCTCCTCCTCCTCCTCCCCCTCCCCTCCCCCTCCTCCCCCGCCTCCTCCTGCCCGCCCCCGCGTAAGCCGGGGGCCCGGTGAGAACGCCGGGACGGTCAGGGAACGCAAAGCGGCTGCCGCCTGCATCGGCGGGATAAAAATAAGGCCGGGGACTTGCCGGAGAAGGCGGAGGGCGGCGGGGGGTTCTGGGGACGGCGCCCCCGCCGGCCACGGGGGCCCTCCCCCTGGGTTGGTGGGGCGCGGGGTGGGAGCTGTCAGGGTTCCCCCTCTGGCTCGGGGTCCCTGGCCCTTTCTTACCTAGCGTTCCCCCCCCCCTTGGGGCACCCCTGTCGGCCGCCGGGACGCGCGCGCGGCGGCGGCACGGCCCCTCTGACACGCGGCGCGTCGCCTGGTCAGCATACCAGGTATGCCAGCGTTGCCGATCCAGCATTAAGCCTTGGCACTTTGGCAGAGAAGCCGAGCCAGTACTAAGCCTCGGCTAAGATTCCAAGCGGCTTACTGGGACGCCTGCGGCACCTTCCAGATGCGTGCTGGTCCTCCGCCTCCTCGTCCTCCTCGTACACATGCCTCCTTCTGCTACTGCATCATCATCAGCATTGGCATCAGCATCAGCATCACCGCCATCATCATCATCATCATCATCATCATCATCATCATCATCATCATCATCATCATCAGCATCAGCATCAGCATCAGCATCAGCAGCATCAGCATCATCATCATCATCAGGATCATCATGGTGATCATCATCATCGTCATCGTCGTCACCATCATCATCAGCATCATCATAATCCTCCGCATCAGCAGCATCGTCACCATCATGAACATCAGCATCAGCAGAAACAGCAACGGCAGCAACGTCAGCAGCACCATCATCGTCATCATCACCATCATCATCAGCATCGGCTTCATCAATAGCAGCATTGTTATCAGCAGCAGTAGCATCATCATCACATTCATCACCACAATCATCACCACCACCAACATCATCATCAGCAGCAGCATAAACGTCACCGTCATCCTCATCATCACCATCCTCATCGTCATCAGCAGCAGCAGCATCGACATCATCATAATCAGCAGCAGCATACGTAATCATCATCACCAACAGCATCAACATCATCGACATCATCGTCATAATCATCAGCAGCACCATCAGCATCTTCATCGGAAGCAGCATCAGCATCAGCATCAACATCGTCATAATCAGCATCACCATCATCAACAGCATACTCATCATCATTATCACCATCATCATCAGCAGCAGCATCATCCTCATCATCAGCATCATCATCATCCGCATCACCAGCATCATCGTCAGCATCAGCATCCGCATCATTAGCATCATCATCAACCATATCATCATAAACCACAACATCATCAGCAGCAACGTTCCCTCCTCCACCTCCTCCTCTTCTCCTTCTAGCAGACTACCACTTGGCTGACCAGATGTTAGAGCTGGCCCGTTATGCTGCTAACATGTCTTTAATGTGGACCAGGTTTCTGGTCCCTGACCCGTCTTGGCTGCTGCCAAGCACGTGCCTTGAAGAGCGAGTTGTCTGGACCGTGTGGACTGACGACTTGCTGATTAATGTACATGTGTTCGGTGATGGCTCGGGTTTGCATGGGCGGTACAGCCACCTTAGACGATGTGGTTGGGGGTTATGCTCGCTCGAGTCTTCTTGGCGCGAGGTCGCCAGAATGCATGGACCGATGCCGTCTCTGTTTCAGTCTGTGCCTGCCGCGGAGCTGTTTAGCTTCCTCATGGCGTTGGGGTATATGGGTGCGCAGCTTAAGTTTTACGCCGAGTGCAGGCAACTAGTAGACATTTGGCGCCAAGGGTTCGGAGCTGGCACGGCTGCCAGCGACCCAATGGCGATTCTCTGGAAGGAGGTCTGGAGGTTGGTGGCGGATCGGGGTCTGGAGGCGGTGGAGATCATTCATGTCAAAGCCCACACGCCGCTCTCGGCGGTGGCTGATGGGCGCGTTATGACTTGGCAACGTTTCGGGAATGCCAAGGCTGATAGTCGGCAATGATAGGAGCTTCTCTGCACTCGGATAATGAAGGCCTGCGCGCAGCACGCAAGTCTTCGATCCAGGCTGTGAAAATGGTTGCTCAGTTTGGCACACAGGTCGCGGCCAGGATCGGTTCGGTCACTGCCCAAGACGCCCAGGCTGTTGCGCTAGGTAGGGCGATTGGCACCATCGAGGGTGGGTTGGGTCCTCCTAGGCCGCAGTCTCGTTACGATCCCGCCGTCAAGTTTACGGACAGGAGGTTTCGCTGTATGATGTGCCCCAGGTCGGCGAAGTCCCGATCGGTGTTGCGGCAGATAAAGTGCATTGAAAGTCCTGCTCAGCATGCGTTGCATCGTGCTGGGCCCGTTTTGTTATGTTCGGTTTGTGGAGCGTATGCCGTGACGCGTAGCCAGGGGCTTTCCGAGGAGTGTAAGCCTTTGAAGCGCCGCGCGGGCGCGCTCGTCAAGGATTCCAGGTACTATCGGCTGCAGAACCTGCTTAAAGGCTGCCACCCTAAGTCAGGCCTGCTCCTAGGCCCTCCAGCTTTGCTGCGAAAGCGGAGGTTCTGCGAGACGGCTCGATTGCCGCCGCTTCCATCTATTCCTGAGACGCGTGCGGCTGGTCTTTGTCAGGTCAACAAAAACTCCTCTTCTCTTCCTATTCTTCATCGTGCCTCCCTCCATCTCTCCATCTCGGCCTCCTTCTCCCTCCTCATTTACCACCTCCGTCCTCCTTCCCCATCCTCATCACCATCATCATCCTCTTCCTCCTCATCCTCCTACGTCACCGCCTTCTTGCGACTGCCACTACGACTGCGACTACGACTATGACGTCCGCCAGAACGGAAGGGGGACAGGAGGAGGAATGGACTGGAAGGCGCAGTGGGAGGTCCCCGTGATCCTGCCACGATGGCACTGGCAGGCGCACGAGCTGGGTCAGCAGTCTCGCCTCGTAGCTCTGAGCAGCCACGGCCGCGTGCATGGCCTCACAGGAGGAATAGGAGGGGAGGAGAGGGGAGGGGAGGAGAGGGGAGAGGGGAGGGGACGGGATGTAGGGATGGAGGACGCGGTGGAAGGGAAACGAGGAGGGCGAGGGGGAAGCGGGAGGGAGAAGGAAAGGGAGCAAGCCCCAGGAGCCCGACAGCGGACTGCATATGGCTCCAAGTGTTATAACAAGAAGGCCCAGAGATTTGCCTGAGAGGGTCCAAGGCATCCGCCACCTTGTCGTCGGCACGCTGGAGCGTGTGTTGGATGATCCTCTGTCGTCTGGTGGGGCTTCTGTAACGCAGCTGGCCTCAGACTACTGCCCCCCTCCCCCTGACCCTGCTGCTCCTCCTCCTCATCCTCCTCCTCCTCCTCCTCCTCCTCCTCCTCCTCCTCCTCCTCGTCCCCCCCACCCCAAACTTCCTCCTCCGCCTCCTCCTCCTCCACGGCGGACTGCTCGACCTCCAGACGACTCCAAGAGAGCCTCAAACCGTCCCGAGTGGCTGCAACACGCCTCAGAGATCGTCGAAGGACGGCCCATCGAGGACCCACGGGCTCCAAGATCCAACCCACAGGAATCGCACCCCAGCGGCATCTCTTGGGCCATTTCGTACCCCCACGGGATCCCCTTGGACAACTGCACCGATGCCCGAGGAACGCTCTACACGGGCCCACGGCGCCCCCGAGGCCTGCCCAGTGGGGTCCAAACAGAAGAGGTCGGAAGGTCGCGCCGCATCGCCAATGCATCGCCGATGCATTGGCGAAGCATCGGCCACGTCGGCAACCCGTTGGCACAGCTGGCGCTGAGGAAATCAGCTTCGTCATCGCGCCGCATCGGCGATGCATCGGCGATGCGACGCGATCCTCCGACACCAACTGCTCAGACCCAACCTGGGAGGCCTGGATTGGACCAATTCTCACCCCAACGGCATCTCTTGGACCACTGCGCTGGTGCCCGAGGAGCGTTGGGCGATCCCGCGGCGTCCAAGAGAGGAGCCCATTGCCTGCACGAAGACCAGCGTTAAGGCTGAGCCTTTGAATCAGAGGACCCCTTGCATCCCTCGGTCCCAGGCGTACTCTGCATGCACGACGCGCCCGATTCGAAGTTCAAGGTCTTCGGATGTTCTGATCGGTCCTCGGCGGTTTTCCAGCCCTGGCGTGCTCTCAGTCAATTGCGCCTTGCCAAGGGCCGTCCAAGGCTGCCCAGAACGTACGGCTTCCGTAGACCCGAGGTGTGACACGAAAACCAATCGACGAGGATCGCCTGGGGGGGACAAGGCGCGCCCTTGGGGCCTCCTCCGACCACCCGAAGGTGTCCCTACCTGACGCGTCCCAGATGCCTCAGATCATGGAAGGTCCATCCTTGTGGCTAGTTCTGACTCCACGGGAAGGAAGACCCCCCCTTCAGCGTCAGGTCTCTTCCGCGAACTGCTCTCGATAGCAAGCCTTGAGCCGGCGCGGGCACGAGGGCAGGCGGCCCAGGGACCACTGGACGAAGCGAGCGCGCGGATGGCAACGGGATGTCTCCAGTCTCCCGGGGGTCTGGGAAACGTCAACTGACCACCTCACCGATCCGTGCCGGGCCCATCCTTGATGGGCCGACCTTCCACCACGGCTACCACCGGTAGGACTGGTGAAAAGCGAGGATGGGGAGGTCCTCCTCCTCCTCCTCCTCCTCCTCCTCCTCCTCCTCCTCCTCCTCCTCCTCTCCTCCCTCCCTCCTCCCTCCTCCCTCCTCCCTCCTCCCTCTCCTCCTCCCTCCCTCCTCCTCCTCCTCCTCCTCCCCCTCCTCCCCCCCTCCTCCTCCCTCCTCCTCCCTCCTTTCTCTCTCTCGCTCTCTCTCTCTCTCTCGCTCTCTCTCTCTCTCTCTCTCTCTCTCTCTCCTACCTATGGTAGTGGTGGTGGAAAATCGGCCCATCAATCCTGGGCCCAGGGCCCCCGCGCCTTCCTGGCCAAGCCAGGAGGGCGAGAGCACACACGGTGGGCCCAGGGTGGGCCCGGCGCGGATCGGTGCGGTGGCCAGCTGACGCCCCCGAGAGGGGACGGCTCCGGGCGCAGCCCGAGCGCGAGGCCAGCCACATGGAGAGCAGCAGAAACATGAAGGCGCCGGTGATGGACAGGGAGCTGCCCATCATCAGCCAGTCCGGCGTCTCGGGGGGCAGGCGCCCCTCGCACCTCGGCGCCCCCTCAGGACGAGGGGCAGGGGGCACACGCGCACGGCAGGACAGGGAACGCGATCTGTGTCAGCATCTCGGGAGGGGCCCCCCGTGTCCCGCTGTCCCCCTGGCAAGAAAGGACGCACCCAACCCATCTGCAAGTGGCAACCCGTTCAGCCCATCTGCAGGTGGCAACATCAACGGGCCCAGGCCCTGGCGCGCGTCTGTGGGCCTCGGAGGCCCTCTGAGGCCCTCGGCGGCTCTCGGCGGCCGTCCGAGGCCCTCCTGCCCCAGCAGCGGGCTCGCACCCTCTGCAGCCCACAGGTCTGGGCCCTCCGCACGAGGAGCCCCCGCCCCTCCCCCGCTGGGAGCCTCCGCGGGGGGCCGGTTTTCTGAGGGTGTCCCACGCGAATGCGCTGGTTTGGAATTCGTCGCCGGACTTCCCAGGCTTTCCCAGGCACGCAACATGAGGGCCTCTGAGGGCATCCTCAAGCTCGGGGAGTCAGCTTTCTGAGGATGTCCCACGCGAGGGCGCCGGTTTGGGATTCGTCGCCGAAGTTCCCAGAAGTCCCGGAAACGGAACAAGGGAGCTTCTGAGGGCCTCCTTTGGGAGGCTCGGGGGGCCGGTGTTCTGAGGATGTCCCACGCGAGGGCGCCGGTTTGGAATTCGTCGCCGGATTTCCCGGAGTTCCCAGAAACGGGACAGGGCTGGTGGTCGGCGGGCCCATTCCCTCGCGCGCCTGGGGTCAGGATGACGTGAGTTCTCAAGACAAACTCCCTCAAATGGCACAACGTAGCTATCACCATACGAATCCCACCACATAACAGCAAAGCTTACGTACAACCCATAGCTTACACAACATAGCTCGCATCACGGAGCTCACACGACGTGGCTCGCACCACATAGCTTACAAACACACAGCTCACACCATGCATCTTACATAACATAGCGTGAACCACATAGCTCACACCGCAAAGCTTCCACCATATAGTTGACACCACATGGCTCACACAACATATGAGTTCACCTTCTCAATGCAAGAACTCACTCTTTGGGGCCCACGCCGGCTGACATGTGATCTAGCAAAGAGAATCCGCCAGAGTGCCTTGATCACACAACAATCTGCCCCCCGAGTCTCTTGCAGCTGTGAGTAATAGAAGGACCGTGAACTCTTGAGGGCCCAGCCCCCGAACTGACGGAATACTCGTGCACTCTAAGGCGCTCTCGTGCCCTCGGAAGGAGCCGTGTGGGCCTCCCCGAGGCCGAAACTGCTTCAAACTGTTCGACAAAGCTAGCCTCGCAGGGTGCGCTGGGCCAGGAGCCCGGGAACTACCGCTGGGGGACCCCCATCCCCGCGCCCCCAAGTTCGGTATCGGCTGCAAGCTTCGGGGATCTGCGAACCCAGGTCAATCAGACCCAGGTCAGCAAGAAACCAAGAACTGCAATGCAACAAAAAAAAGCTGCAACGCAGGGCTTCGCAAACCCGGGTCAGCCAATATGCGCGGCCGCCTCGCGGCCACGAGCGTCTCGCTAACCCGGGTCAGCCAGAGGAATCTTCGCAAGATCCTGCAGGATCCGGTGCCCTGGCTGACCCCCGTTTGCATTGACCCCCGTCTCTTGAGCCCGAACTAAGCTGGCCGACTGACGAACTACCAGATTCGCCGGGCCCTCGGCACCAGAGCGTCACGGTGGAGGCCAGCATGAGCACGTTCACCAGCAGGCCCGCGCTCCCACGAGTATACGGGGCGGCGAGGTGCATGGAGCTACTGTGCTGCCGCCTCTTTCCCCCTCTCCTTCAACGGCATCCTCCCTCGGCTCCCCCCATGGTTCCCATCTGCATCGTAGTTGACCTCAGGACCTGAAAATCACCGCGGCGGCAGCGTCTTCGAGGTTGGCGCCGCGACAGCAGCGTCTTCGAGGTTGGCGCCGGGTGCCCTAGAGACTCTGCCAGATCACGCTCTAGGCTCCAGGCCGACAGGCACTGGAAATGAAGGGGCCTAGGGACACGCAAGCGTGTTAAGATAGTCGGTAACAGGTAAGCCGTATTTCTATATATATATATATATATACATATCCCCTGGGAATCCCTAGGCGAAAAATACCCTGGGCTGGTCCCTGGCAAGGTCCTGCCAGAGCTGGTTTTGCTCCTGAGCGCCGTCCTCGGGGCTTCCCAGCGAGCCCCAAGAAGAGCCAAAAGACCCCCAAGAAGCCATCGAGATAGTCCAAGAGAGCCCCGAGACGCAACAATATCGCTCCTAGACAGCCCACGAGGCCTCCAAAACGCCCTAAAAGGGCTCCAAGAGGCCTGAAAAGTTGTCCCTTTTCATCTTCCCGACGCTCCAACGCGGCCCCAGAGGCCCCCAAGACCGCTCCGAGACGGCCCAAGGATCTCCAAGAGGGCCCAAAAAAAGCCCCAAGAGAGCCCAAGAGAGCCCCAAGACTGCCCAAGAGGCGTCGAAGACGGCCGAAGAGGCTCCCAAGACGACATTACCACACAGGCCCAAGCTAAACGCCTGCATGCCTCATGCACCGCAGAGGCCCGCAACGAACACCCCCAGAGGCAGCTCAACAGCAACTGATTCAGATCGAACGCTCCCCACGCACCGCGCCAGAGAACAGCCGCCGCTCAACAGCACCACCATGACAACGAACACACGCGGAACCGAGAGCCGTCAAACAATATGGGTCGGCGGAAAGAGCGAAGCGGCTCAATTGATAGACACAAGTCTCAAGTTCTCCATGTTTTGCCATATTTTCTGGATGTTCGTCTTCCCCCCCACGTCCCATATTTTCATCAGTTCCTCGGGAATCGACGATTATTCCCCAATCAGTGCTTGCACTGAAAGGGTCCTAGCGGAAATTGAAAGATTTGGCGAAAATGTCCCGCCGATTTGGGTGGCCGGCTGGCTTCCCGGGTTCCCGGTTCCAGGTTCCCGGGTTCCTGGTTATTGGTTCCGGGCCGATTTCGGTGGGTTCCGGGTTCCTGGGTTCCCGGGTTCCCGGGTTCCCAGTCGATCTCCTTATCGATCTCTTTATCGATCCCAGTTCAAACCATACACTGATTGGGGTTTTTCCCTGGTGTAATTCATTCCTTGTGTATCGACGATTATTTGTGTTTGTGTGTCTGCCCCCTCCTGACGCAAAGGGCACACACGAGAGGGCGAGATCCGACCAGGCCTCCGCCCCCTCTGGGACGGGGGCCGGGCGCGGCGCTGACCTTCTTGGCCTGTGCTGACTTTTCCCTCGGCTCCCTTCCGCCCGTCAAACCGGGCCTCACAGCGCGTGGTTCTGCAGGTCCGCTGGTGAGCGTTTTTTTATTCGGCGTTTCGACATTGAGCGATGAGGGGGGGGAGGGGGGGGTCTGGCTCCGAACCTCTGCTGAGTGCGACTGTTTGCAGCAGTGCGTCCATCATGGGGGCGCTCCACCTGCTCGAAACAGGCGCCAAAAACAATCAAGATCCGCTCCATGGGGGGGGAGGGGGGGTGCGAGGGCCCGCGCCGATCGGCAAAATAATGAATAAAAAACGATCACCTGTTCAGGGCCGTCTTGGGGCTGTCTCGGGATCCTGTGAGCCCTTCCTGGCGCCCTCCTGAGTTCGTCTTCTCTCAGGCCGTCTTGCTGCCGTCTTAGGCCCCTCATGCCCGTCTGAGGAGTTGCTTGGGGCTCTCTTTTCGGGACATATTGGAACTCTATCTCTCTTTGGCCATCTTAGGCCCTCGCTGCACGCAAGAGTGGCCCTGTCAAGAAAGACCCTTGGCGCGCGGCTTCTGGGGGCCGCGGAGGGGCCAATTCCAAGCGCGCAAGCCTGTGCTGGGCGGACCCATGTGGTCCCGTGCACCAAATGTCACCGGGTTACCCTTCGGCGTAGCCGACTCCTGACCTCTGCACCGCCGGTCCCCCTCGTGATCGAGTCAATCCAAGGGCCGTTGGCCTCGTCTCGAGCGGCCCATGTCCAGATCCATTCCCTGCTGGGACGCGATCCCGCGGAAGCGCGGTCGCATGGATGCGGTCCGCGCGTGGCATCCGCGGAAACACGCGGGGGCGCAGCCCAGGGGCCCAGCCCGTTGGACTGTAGATATTCACATGTTTTGGCGACTCCGAAAGGTGTGCTTTCCAAAGGGTGCGGTTTGCAACCTGAACCCTGTAGGGCGGACGATGACCTCGACAGAACTCTCCGCCGCGCCCCGAGGAGGCCCGAGGAGGGCAACATGGGGGCCCCCAAGCCCCAACGACGCAGATCGCAAACTTCCGTGGCAACCCTATGGGAGCCTCCCATGCCATCTTGCTGGCTCTTGCGAATCGACGCTAAACCGACGCTAATCAACGCTAATCGACGTTAGTCGACGCTGATCGGCGCTACATCGACGCTAATCGACGCTACATCAGCCCTTTCTCATCGATTACCAGACGCTAGCACACGCCAATGCACTCCTCTGGGGGCGACGCGCGCATGCAGTCGGACCTAGGCCAGAAGAACACTCTTCAAGAACATGAGACCCTCCGTCGGCCAAAACAAACAGAACATCCAAGGGCACCCTCCCCAGGGGATGCACAAGAGCATTCAGCATCCAACAAGCACGAAGAGCACCAGGGTACCCTCCCCGAACCGACCTCGCCCTTGTACTTCGTTCCGAGTGCACATCGTTACCCCAGCGGCATGGCCAGAGAGCGCCCGCCGCCGAGCATGTGCCATCAGACTCCCGAGCGCGCGCGCCGCCCCTCCGGGGGGCGACGCGCGCATGGCAGAGGCACGCATGCGAGGGGCAACGATAGGGGGGGGGGGCTGGCATAAGGGGGGGATGCATCGACCTGGAATCAGATACATCGCCGATAGTTCGGCAATGAGCCTTGGATCCGCACCTTTCTGGGCCGGGGCTATCGGGCCCGTCGGCGATCAATGGGCGATTGGGGTCGATGCATTCCCCCTATATGCCTATCCCCCCCTATCGTTGCCCCTGAGTTTGGGTGAAGCCGATCCCCCGGAGCCCTCTCCCGAGGCCCTTCGGCATCGGAGCACCGTCGGCCGCCGAGCGGGCCCAAGATCGAGCCCAAGTCGGCCGCCGCGCGGGCTCTCGCTTCGGGCCGGCACACCAGGGCTGAGGCCGTCGGGCTGTGCGGTCGGCGGCGGCACGGCCTCGGACGCCAAACGGGCTCGGAAGGGGGCCCAGAGGGCCCCTCGGCGTCTGCAGGAGCGGATGGAAAGAGGCTGAGGGTGGGCAGAAGGAGGGGGAGGGAGGAGGAGGAGGAGGAGGAGGAGGTGGAGGTGGAGGTGGAGGCGGAGGCGGAGGCGGAGGCGGAGGCGGAGGAGGAGGAGGAGGAGAAGGAGGAGGAGGAGGAGGAGGACGAGGACGAGGAGGAGGAGGAGGGCCCCCTGAGGGCCCCGTGCAGACCTCACCAGTCGGCCCGTAGTCCTGTCCATGCCCTCGGGGGGCGAGGGCCAGCGGCGGAGCCCGCGGAGCGCCAGGGATAGGCGTGCATCTTGTTCTCGGTGAGCGACACGAGGTCACGGACGTCCTCCCGCCAGAGCTGGGCCTGGCGAGGAGCCGCCAACCCTGGCCGACACCCAAACCTGGCCAGGCCCGACTCCTCCTCCTCCTCCTCCTCCTCCTCCTCCTCCTCCTCCTCCTCCTCCTCCTCGTCCTCGTCCTCGTCCTCCTCCTCCTCCTCCTCCTCCTCCTCCTCGTCCTCGTCCTCGTCCTCCTCCTCCTCCTCATCCTCCTCCTCCTCCTCCTCCTCCTCCGCTGGTTCAAGGACTGACGCAGGGACGATCCCGCCCCAGCCGCGAGGATCTGTACAAATTCCTTGGGGGGCGGAATGGACTTGGCCGGGTCTGTCGGTGTACAGTCTCGTTGGCGGTCCCCAGACCTGGGCCATCTTGAACTCCAGGATCTTGAGCTCCTGTGGACAGGTGGGAGCGAACGCCTTTCCTTCCTGAAATTCCCTCCGGCCTGCGGGCCGCAGCCCCTGACCCAGGCAGAAAGAGAAACAAGCATCTGCTGGCCGCTCCCAGCCGTCTTCGAAGTGCCATGTCACGACCCAGAGCAGACAGGAGGCGGCGGAGGATAAAGAGGAGGAGGGAGAAGGACAGGGAGAAGAACAAGAGGAAGGAGACTGCGGGGTAGCTGGCAACCGCTTATGAGCGGAGGGCCTGGCCGCATCCCTCGCATCGACTTCTTGGCAAAATCGCTCCCCCCTTCCTCATCCAAAAAGATGGCTTCCAGAGCGGAGACCTTGTTTGTTTCTCTCGGCCTGGCAGGAGACGGAGGCTGGAGCCAGAGGATGATTCCAATTGCCGGTCCTTCGTGAGCCGGAGGTCTCTGTCATACAGGAAGTTATCCCGGTTGTAGTCAAAGCTGGTCTTGGCGCCGAACGCCGCGAGTCCAGCCACACACTCCATCCTGGATGATGGTCCGTAACTGACTGAGAGGCAGGTGAAAGCGGTCAGCAGCACTCCAACAGAAGAGCCATCGTTACAATATTCGCCGACCCCTCGGGCACCAGCGTTGCAAATGTCTACCCCTCCACTAACGCGCTCCCGAGAAGGGAGCTCTGAGAACGTAAGAGGGCCTCAAGACGGTCCAAGAGTGGTAGAAGAGGGTCCCAATACGGCCCAGGAGGGTCCCAAGACGGCCCAAACGAGCCTCAAGGGACACAGCCCAAGAAACCGCCAGACAGATCCTGGGCAGTGCAAATAACGGCCTTGGATGGCGACATCGATCTCCAATGAACACACACAATCGAACACACACACACATATATATATATATAGATGCATACATACATACATACAGACAGACAGACAGACAGACATACGTACATACATACATGCATACATGCATGCATGCATGCATACATACATACGTACGTACGTACGTACATGCATGCATACATACACACATACGTGCATACATACATACAGGCAGGCAGGCAGACATAACGACAGACATACATGCATGCGCACATACATATACATGCATACAGACATGCATGCATACATGACTGCATACACACATACATGCATGCATGCATGCATACACACATTGCACACAACACATACATTACATACACGACGGACACTTCACACATTACATGCATTCTATACAGACAAAAATACATACATGCATGCATGCATACATACATACATACATGTTTACAGACAGGCAGACAGACAGGCAGACAAACATACATACATACGTCGATTCATACATAGATACCTGCATGCATGTATGCAACTTTGCATACATACATACATACATACAAGCATACATGCATGACACTACATTACATCACAAAATATCACATTATATTACATTAGAGTACATTACATTACATGACATTACACTACGTTATTACATCACATTACATACTTGCGTGCACACATGCAGACAGACAGGCAGACATACACACACACACATGGTCCCAAACGGACTTAGAGATCGTCAAGATGGCCCACCAGGGACCCAGGGTAGCCTTGGGCAGCCCACGAGAGCCCGAAGATATCCCTTCCGACCCCAATGTCTCCCTCTCCCTAATATCCTCCTCCTCCTCCTCCTCCTCCTCCTCCTCCTCCTCCTCCTCCTCCTCCTCCTCCTCCTCCTCCCCCTCCTCGTCCACCTCTGTCGAGACCCGGTCCTCGTCGCCGTCGTCATCGTTCTTGTGCTCTTCTTCCTCCTCCTCATTCTCATGATGATGATGATGATGATCATCATCATCACCATCATCATCATCATCATCATCATCATCATGGTCGTCAAGGTCATCGTCATAATCATCATCATCATCATCATCATCATCATCATCATCATCATCATCATCATCATCAGCAACATCATCCTCATCATCAGCAGCATCATCATCAGCAGCATCAACATCACCATCATCATCAGCATCATCATCATCAGCATCGTCGTCATGTCACCACCACATACACCATTATCACCAGCACCACCATCATCAGCACCACCACCATCACCAACACCACCACAATCATAAACATCATCATTACCATCATCAGCAGCAGCATCATCATGATCATCATCCGTATCATCAGCATCATCATCATCAGCATCATCATCAGCATCATCATCACCATCACCATCATCATCATCCTCATCATCGTAATCATCCTAATCGTTATCATCATCAGCGTCATCGTCATCATCATTATCATCACTAACCTCATCAACATCAGCATCATCAACAGCATCATCACCGTTATCATTATCATAATCAGCATCAACAGCATCAGATTTATCATCCCCATCATGATCACAAGCATCAGCATCATGATTAGCAATCATCCTCATCATCACCCGCACGATTATCATTCCTCTCATCATCCTCAACATCATCGCCAGCATCCTCGTCATCATCCTCATCATCAGCATCAGCATCATGATAATCATCATCATCATCATCATCAGCATCATCATGCCCCTTCTACTGCTCATCATCGTCATCCGCATCATCAGCATCATCAGCATTATAAGCATGATCTTCGTCATCCTTATCATCATCAGCAGCAGCAGAAGCGTCATCAGCATCATCATGAACTTCGTCAGCCTGATCATACATCATCAGGCTCCCTGCTCTACTTCCTCATATTCCTCCTCCGCATCCACCTCCTACTCCTAATCCTCTTCCACATCCACATCATCATCATCACCACCGCGAAAACCATCATCGTCATCCTCATCCTACATCCTCCGTCCCTCTTTCTACCTCCTCCTCCTCTTCCTCCTCCTCCTCTTCCTCCTCCTCCTCCTGCTGGTCCGTCTGGTCTTCAGATTCCTCCTGTCCCTGCTCGTCCTCATCCTTCTCGTCTCCATCCCCATCCTCATCCTCATCCTCCTCCTTCTCCTCATCGTCCTCCTCCTCCATGTGTTCCCTCCCATCATCATCGGAGTCACCACCACCATCAGCATCAGCATCAGCATCAGCAGCAGCATCAGCAGCAGCATCATCATCCGCATCATCATAAGCATCATAATCTGCATAGTCCTCAGAATCCTCAGCATCACCATCACCAGCATCAGCAGCATCATCATCAGCATTATCCTCATATCATCATCAGCATTATCCTCATCATCATGAGCATCAGCATCATCATCATCATCATCATCAGCATCAGCAGCATCGTCATCGTCATCCTCATCATCAGCATCGTCAGTATCATAAGCATAAGCATCAGTATCATCATCAGCAGCAGCATCAGCATCAGCTCCATCATCAGCGTCGTCATCCCATCATCATCAGCTGCAGCAGCAGAAGCATCATCCTCATTATCAGCAGCAGCAGCATTAGCGTCATCAACATCATCATCATCATCATCATCAGCAGCAGCAGCATCATCCTCATCATCATCAGCAGCATCATCATCAGCAGCATCAGCATCACCAGCAGCATCCCCGTAACCATCATCGGCATCATCATCATGCTCATCATCCTCATTGTCATCAGCATCGTCATCATCATCCTCGTCAGCAGCAGCATCAGTATCGTCATAACTCTCGGCAGAATCATCATCATCATCATCATCATCATCATCGTCATCATCGTCATCATCATCATCAGCATCACCACCACCACCACCACCACCATCATCATCATCAGCATAGGGAGCCCAGGCCGAGCTCGGCCCGCCTCGCCCGCTTCGCGACAGATCGCGGTCGCCTGGCCGGGGCAATCCGTGATAATGTAACCACATACCTGTGCGGTGGGCGACTGCGATTCGGCGGCGGCCGTTCTCGGGAGAGCGGGATCATCGACAGTATCGGCAGCATTACCAGCGTCATCAGCATCATCAGCAGCAGCATCAGCATCATCATCATCATCATCATCAGCAACATCAGCATCATCAGCATTATCATCATCGTCGTCGTCATCAGCATCATCATCAATATGATCACCATCATCATCAGCATCATCATCATCAGAATATGTAGCATCATCATCAGCAGCAATCATCATCATTAACACCAGTATCACCATCATCCTCGTCATCAGAAGCAGCATCAGCAACATCCTCATAATCGCTATCATGACCGACGCCACCATCATCATCATCAGCATCATCATCACCTCCAGCATCATCATTGTCAGCACTCGCAAGAGTAGCTTTATCAGTACCGTCATCATCATCATCATCATCATCATCATCATCATCATCATCATCATCAGCATAATCACCATCATCAGCATCATCAGCAGCATCATCAGCATAATCAGCATAATCGGTAGCAACGCCCTTCTCATCACCACCATCATCATCATCGTCATCATCATGATCAGCATCATCATCAGCAGCAGCATCATCATCATCATCATCATCATCATCATCAGCAGCATTATCATCATCAGCATCAGCATCATCATCATCATCATCATCATCATCATCATCTTCATCATCTTCATCAGGATCATCTCCATCCTCACCAACAGCAGCATCGTAATCATCATCGTTGAAGTCATCATCACCATCATCAGCATCAGTATCAACACCATCATCATCATCATCATCATCCTCAGCATCATCACTGTCGTCGTCATCCGAATCATCAGCAACATAATCATCGCTAGCATGACCGACACCAGCATCCTCATCATCAGCAGCAGCATTATCAGCACCAGCATCATCATCATCAGCATCAGCATGATCAGCCTCATCATCCTCATCATCATCATCAGCATCGTCATCATCACCGATCATTAGCATCAGCATCAGCAGCATCAGAATCATTTTCCGTAGTACGATCGTCGTCATCATCACCGTCATCAAAATCAGCATCATCATCGTTGCCGTCATCGTCATCGTCGTCATCAGTATCATCGGAATCAGCAGCATCAACATAATCGTCATCATCAAAATCACCATGACAGCCATGAACCGTCAAATTGAATCAGCATCATCATCACAACCACCACCACCACCATCCATCCATCCATCCATCCATAATCATGATCAGCATCATCATCGTCATTCATCGCCATCGCCATCGTCAGCAGCATCGTCTTCGTCATCGTCGTAATCATCAATGTCATTAGTATTCTCAACTCCATCTCCTCATCCTCCCACTAGTTCCTCTACATGTGTCCGTCGTCGCCGTCACGATATTATACTTAAGTGGTCTTACCATTATTCCTCCACCGCCTGGTCCTCCACCTACTCCTCACCCTTCTCCTGTTCCCCTGACCCTGCTCATGCTCCTCAGTCAACTGGTCGCTGGATGTGGCGCTAGCCTGCTGCATCTATCCCAGGAATCTAAGGAATATGTAAATATGGACAGAGATCAGGAGAGCCAAGACCGACTTGAGCCAGAGGCTGCGGAAGCAGGGTGCAGCCAGAGTCACATCCGGGGGCGGGCGGTACAGAGTTGCAGGGTTGAGAGGACGAGTGAG